TGGGGATGGCCCAGGGTGGAGGCAGCGAGCCAGTCACCGGAACTGAGCCCCGAGTGGTCCCTAGGCTGTGCTGGGGCCCGTTCACCCCCCGGCAGCGTGACCCTGTCACTCACCCTGTGGTTGTGCCCTACAGGTTATTGGTGGTGCGGGCCTGGACATCGACTTCTCCCTGGAGAGCCCCTCGGGCGTGCTGCTGATCAACGAATACCGGAAATCGGACGGGGTGCACACGTGAGTGTTGCTGGCTCTGCCTCTTCCGGCCCCCAGGCGCCTCCAAACTCCCCTGCCAGCCCGGTCGGGGGGGGGGGGGGGGCACATGGCTCTTAGCCTGTATAAGCTGAGCTCATCGCACACCCCAGGGGCTCCTTGCTTTTCCCTGTTGCCCTCCTCTCACTCCCTGCACGCCGTCCTCCTGTCCCCCTCTCTTTCAGGTTCTCCCCCGTCTCCCCCCCACCAGGGGTTCTGTGGACCTCATTATTTCCCCCAGTCCAGAGTCCCCCATTTTCCCTCAGCCGCTGTGGTTTCACTGCCCTTGGTGGCATAACTGTGCAGTTATACTTGTTTTCCAACAGAGCTACATGCCCCAATGACTGCTTGTTTGCCTTGGCCCCATGAGCGTTGAGTGCAGGACTGGCTCATCCTCACGGTTTTTACCTCTTTCCCCAGCATTGAGCCCACGGAAGCAGGCGACTACAAACTCTGCTTTGATAACTCCTTCAGCACTATCTCGGAGAAGCTGGTTTTCTTCGAGCTCATCTTCGACAGCCCCCAGGAGGACGAGGACGGGGATAACTGGGCTGAGGTGGTGGAGCCGGAGGAGATGCTGGATATGAAGATAGAAGATATTAAGGTGGGGGGCATTGGGGCCTCGGGCATTGGGAAATGCAGTGCAGAGCCTTTTGCTAGTAGGGCTTTGATTGTTGGAACCACTGGGTGAAGTTCTGTGTCCTGGGTGGTGCCGGAAGGCAGGCTGTATCTTCATGATCCCTTCTGGCCTTGAAATCTGTGAAGATGGTCTCAGGAAATGGCTGATCTGAGTTGGTGGGGTGTCCAATGGCAGGGAGTCAGAACTCTTACAGGCCTTGGCCCCCAGCGAACTGAGCTCTTGGGGAGGCATTTGTTAGCTGCACTCCAGCATCATCAGCACTTCGCACACCTGTGCGCAGTAGCTGCTATCCCCCTCCCCGCCTGATGCCCTTTCTGTCTTCCAGGAATCCATTGAGACCATGAAGAACCGTTTGGAGCGGAGCATCCAGATGCAGACGCTGCTGCGAGCCTTCGAAGCCAGAGACCGCAACCTGCAGGAGAGCAACATGAGCCGTGTCAACTTCTGGTCAGCCGTTAACCTGGGGGTGCTGGTGGTGGTGGCCTTCCTCCAGGTCTACATGCTGAAGAGCCTCTTCGAAGACAAGAGGCACGTCCGAACGTAGCTTGAACGGGAGAGAAATGGACTCCGTATCTCCTGCGGGGGGCAGGTACAGAGCCAGACTGGTCCTGAGGCTGGTGAATTCAAAGCCAAACACCCCAGCACCTGATAGATCAACTGTGTATAGCTCTGTCAAATCGCTGCAGCTTCTCTTCTGGGCATCCTTTAGTGGGGTTAAATGGGCCTGCTTTGTACCAGAGCTCACATTAGGTGCATTGGAGCCAGAGGGCGTGGGGCGGGTGGGGGGTGGATCACAGAGGTTTGACTGATGGGATGGGTTAAAATTGATTCTCTATGGACTTGAACCCCTTGGCTTGGGGGAAAGGGATTCTACAGCCACCAGCCTGTGCCAAAATCCACATCCCCGAGGATGGGATGAAGGAAGAGCAAAGCAGGGCATGGTGGATGGCAGCTGAGGAGAGCAGCCGGTGGTCTCGGTACCTAGTCCCATCAGTAAAGCAGGGTCTGGCCTGGCAGCCTCTGGTTCTGACCGTCACCAATTATAGGTGGGCAGGATCCCCTGGCCTGCAACCAACTTGCTCCTGGTCCTGAATCTCTCCTCTCTTCTGCATTTTTGTCAAAGGAGACGCCTCCTATGTGCCTTAACATCAGCTCTTGGCCTGCTTGGACCTTGGCCGCGGCCTTGCTGTGTCCTGCTGCCCCTTTAGCGCTTTGTTTCCACTGTCTTTTAGTAGAGAAGATGGGGAATGTCCCCCCATGTCTCCAGGGACTCCCCACGCTCTGGCCCCCTATGCAGCAGTGAATTGGCTCCAGTTGGCCTCCATACTGACCCCTGGAGGAAAAGCAACCTCTTCGCTGTTTACTGCTGCAGTGCGGCTGCGGCGGGAGAGCCTTGGCTTTGGGTCCAGCCGTGTGGCTTGGTTTTGCTTAGGGCTGTGTTTCCATGGCATCCCCTTTGCTCCGGATAGCAATGGAAGCTGCTGTTTGTGGATGACATTCACTTCCTTTGCTGCCCTGTTCCAATTAGCACCTCTTACTTCAGGTCTCATGGATCAGATCACAGGCCAGTTTCCTTCAGATCATGGAAGAAAAACCCAGTTCTGCTTCTCAATGGATTCTTCCCCTTCTGTGATTTCCCTGCCTCTGGTGCCTTTTCTCACTGTCCTGTTTTGCCTTTCTGGTTTGAGATCTTCGCTTCACTGGTACCTTAAGTGCAGCAGGACCATGGATCTGAGCGTGGCAGTGACTGCGGGCACCTTGGCAGTGGGGAAGGGGTGCGCCTCCTGCTGCGCGTAGGAGGAAGCGATTGGCTTGGTTCCTCAGGACTGGAGTTGAGCAGGAGTTGCCATTGCTTTAGACCCCAGTTCTGCCAATACCCGGCTGCCCCTTTCCTGGGCTGAGCTGGTGTCTCTTCAGTGCTGGGCTCAGAGGGGGAGGGGGGTGCCTCGAGGCAGCAGCAGGGGTGTGGGGAATTGCTTCCAGTCAACAGGACAAGCTGTAGACAGTGACTCCTGAGGGCACGGGGGGGTTGGTGAGATTCCATATCAGCGGGTGGTTCCGGGTGGATGGAATCTGGAGCACTTCGTGGCTGAGAGCCAGAGATGCAGGGTTGTTAAGGATTCACTGTATTTGCTGGTCTGGGCAGTGATCATCGCTGTCAATAGCCCCATTCTCTGCCGTAGCAGAGGGGCTAAGGGTGAGAGGGTCGGGGAGAGCACGGATTGAGACCCGTTGGGTGAAAGGGAAAGGATGTGTTAGTGGGATCTGCCTAGGACAGCCGGGTTCCCCAGGGCGGCTGATCCGACCCCTCTCCTCAAGACTGACTGAGGAGGGGCTGCTACCGCCTGACGAGGCCAGTGGTGTTGCTTTGTTACCACAGTATGTGCCAAAGTGCCCTCCTCACGCCCACCCTAGCTGGGAAAATAGCCCTGATCTCCCCCTCACCACCTGTTGTGTGCCTCAAAGAGAGCTCTCCTGGAGAGACTCCATGACAGTGCCTGCTTTGCCCGTCACAGACGGGTGTTCTGATCTAGGGGGCCTGAGCGGTGGGTGATTCCAGAATCTCCTGCAGACACGGACCTGGCTTGGTGTTTTTTTAACTTGCTGCATACAGCACAAGTGGCTGATCTCACCAAGCCTCTGGAGAGAAGTGTATGAATGGCAGCCTGGAACCTGCCGTGGGCTAACGACTTCTGTCTCGTCTCTTGTGCCCCATCTCTGCGCTTTGGCCGGGGCTGACTCCAGCTTTGAGCAGCGAAACTGAGACTGATTAAACTTGACGCTTGGGACCCTTTTCCTCCGACTTCCCCCTGCCGGCATTGGGACAGCCCAGTGAAGTTCCGAGCCGACTCTTGCGCTGGGATTGTTTGCTGCTTAGTGGAAGCTGCAGCCTGGCTAGTCGGGAACAAATGACATGTATGTATGTGGGGCGCTGATTTTGATGGGTGTTTTTTAAATTACCAAAGGGCTATGGAGCCATTCTCTCTAGCAAATACATATTGCTGAGCCTTTTACAAAGGAATCTAGTATTTATTCTCGATGATAAGAAAGAAAGGACATTAAATGAAGTTGTTTAAGATGTGTCATTGTGAATCCGTATTGGGCCTGCGCTCCTTTCCCCCCGCTGCTGCTTATTGTAGGGCGAGTTCTAACATCGGAGACAACCAGACTCCCATCAGCTGTAGCCTAAACTGCGCGTAGGACTATGCAGTGTACACGATCCATCTTTCCACAGGAAAACTGCCTTCAATGGCTAATGTTACTGGGCATGGGAGTGTGCATCTCAGCGGGAGCTGAACGCTACAGCGCCATGTGTTCTGGCAGGACTGAGAATTCAGGGCCTCTTAGAGACCACTGCATTCCCTAAGGTCAGAGCGGCCCGACTGACACTGGACGAGCTGGTTTGTAACTTTCTGTGCACTGTCCTGGAGATGGAAATAATCTGAATTGCTGCTTATTACGGAACAGTGACCTGACTCTCCTCCGGCAGAACCTTTAGGCTGTCGAGAGCAGAAGGCATGTTCTCGAGGCGCTAAGACAGCAGTTCTCCTGTTTAATCCTGATAGCAGGTCACAAGTCTGCTGTGATAACCCAGCAGCCACTGACCTCCCCCGGTAGGGCTGGGGCACTAGCTTTGCTTGGAGAGCTTTATTAAGTTTCGACTCCTTGCTTCGTTTGACACAACTGGCAAATTAGTGAGAGCCCCTTTGCTACTCGCTGCTCCCGCTCCCTGTAGCAGCCTGTGTCCCCCAGCCGTGCCGACCAGCTCGCTTTCTGCTGTCCCAAGCCAGCGTTCGGCTGCTTTCTCTGGGGTTTGACTGATTATGGGGTGGGCTTTGTCCTGCCCCAGGGGGAGCAGAAACAGCCTCTGATTGGGCCTGCCATGGATCCTTGGGCACATATGGTACGAAAGCAGTCGCAAGGTGCTACCTGATGGCGAATGCACGCCTGGGCGAATTCTGCAAGAATGAAGTGAAAGGGCCTATGCATGTATCAGCTGCAGCCTGTCAGCTTGGCTTCTAACTCTCCCCCCCTCTGCAGCCGTGGCAAGGGCATGGTACGCCCTGCTGGAGTCAAAAGCAAATAGCCTGGAGCAAAGGTGCCACAAGGATCAGGTGTCTTTTGACTAAGGCCCGGGCGCAAGGGGCTGGTTTTCATAGACCCTGAGCACACATCCCTCTTAGCTGTGATTGCTCAGTCGCTCTGCAAGCGCATCACTCAGACCCCCGGAACACGCGGGGGTGGGTCTGACTCAAGGGGAATCCAAAGCTGTCCTAGAAAGGGTGAGATCTGAGCATTAAAGCTTAAGTCCCTGAGCCCAGCCCTTCCTGGGCGGGGTCAGGAGGGTCAGGTGCGGGGACGGGCCCCCTGAAGGGGGGGGGGTCTCTGCAGCATAGGAAGAGCAGCTCTCAGACTCCAACTCACTCCTCCGCTCTGTGGTCAGCAGCAGCTGGGAGCAAAACCATGAATGGATGAGGCCGTGTCTAGGTGTGGGATGTGGCCGAGACCAACTGCAGTTGCATCCGTGCGATTTACTCCTGTGCCAAGGAGGGTTCGCTCCCCTGGCTGCAGCAAGCCTGTCAATGGAGGGAAGGCTGCCCACCTGCCCTGGGAGAAGGGGCAGGGGACACTGCAGGCTCGGGGATCAGAGCTGGCCCTTAAACCCCTTCCCTTCCTTTCTAGTGAGGGGGCCCCCTACAGCCTCCCACCTCTTCAGCCCGGGCCGGGGCTCTGTCTGCCACTTCCCCCTCGGTTCATTCGCTCCATCACATTGCAGGAGCTGTATTCCCCCATCTGCCATACCAGGCACCCATTCTCCCCCCTGCCAGAAATTCTGTGCCCCCCCCTTCCACCCCACCATTCATAATCCCTTCCCACCTCCCTTCTTTCCCTGGCAGGATGTCAGTGTCTTCAAACTGCTGGGAATACGAACCAAGCTCAAAGGGGAGGGAGGATCCGGCTGGAAGTTCGGACAGGTGAAAAGGTGGTTAAAGCTGCTAGTTCTACTCAGCAGATGCCAGGGGCCCCGTGTCCCTCCTGCCCCCCTATTTCCTTCTCCAGTTTCCACCACGAGCCAGAGGGTTCTGACCAGCGCGGTCTAGAACATGCCCCGGAAATGTTGCAATTGACAGGCGGTGACGCTCATTGTGAGTGTTACAGACTGAACAGCGATGGGAGCTTAGACATCAGTGCTCTCGGCCAACCTGGGCCAGGCTCTGCAAGGCCCTGCTGGTCTGTTTAATCACTTTTCTGAGCAGAATCGCAGCTGGGAGCTGCTCCCCCTGGCACCAGCTCCAGGGGACCAGCCTGCCTTCCCCAGGGGGCAGTGTGTAGGAATGAGGCTATGCTGTTCCATTGTTGATCTCTGCTAGCACCCCAGGCACTGGACAGGGCCATGTACCTAGCCCAGTCTTTGCTAATGACGTTCATGAAATACTGGTCCTGTGATCCAGGATTTTTTATTGGGGGAGGGGGAAGAATTATATAGAGGGGGTTATGCTGTCCTCTTTACACACACCTTGTACAGAGGGCACCATGGAGCAACTGGCCTGGCCTCGTCCTTAAAGCTGTGCCCAGTCGGATAGCCACGGGCGGGAGGGGAGACTGATGGCTCCATGCAAGTACCAACAGCAGGGTAGAGCGAAGTAGAGCAGTTCACGAGCTCTGCTGCTGAGCAGTGACCCCGTACAGCTGCAGGGTGACTCTGGAACTAGTGGCTGCACCAGGTAGTTTGAGTCTGCTACAGCCCTTGAGCCAACAAAGGTGGGTCCTGTAACTCACCAGAGGGTGTGGGTTGAATCCACGTCGCTGGCCCAGTATGACAACAGAATTGAGTAAAGGGCAGGTGTGGGGCTGGCCCCTTGCTCTGATGTTCACCGAAGGTCTGTGACTTCTTCTGCCTCAAAGGAGGGGTGTGAGGATAACTTCATAACCATCTCACGGCGCCAATCTGTCCACTGCCTTTTACCCCTGCTAGGCTTCTGGCCTTGGTGCCCGGCCCTGTGCTATCAGAGCACTTCTGACGCGCTGCCTGCCTGTGAGGCCGTGTTAAACGGCTGGATTAAGGCAGCATTTGCTCCTGCTGGTGAATGCTGAGTCCCCTGCTCCAGGAAAATGAAAGCAATGGTGCCCTACTGCCATAGTTGTTGTGGGTCCTATCCCAGCCCTGGGCTCAGAGTAGCTCTTCCTAAGAAGATAGGTCCTCTCCTTTGTTACAAAGCTTTGGGCAGGGCCCGCCTCCGCTGAACCTCTGAGCTCTTGGTTCAGACTCTGCACCCCCCAGGCAAATGTCTTCGCTGCAGCAGTTACTCTCAGCACTGCCCTGAAGCTTTGCTTTGTCACCAGCCCAGTGGAGGTTGGTTTTTAAACGGCAGCGCAGACTGGAGAAGAAATGAAAGGCTGGGCCGTGCCCCCGCCTGCAGCTCATCCATCAGGCCTCCCGCGGGGGCATGGTCTACGCTTTGGCATCCACTGACCGAAGGGCTCCCTGGCTGTGTTTAACCAACAACCTCGTTGGCCCGGAGTCCCATGGGCCATTGCCGAGGTATCGACTATCCACCGTCCTGAAAGGTTCTGCAGCTGGGGAGAGGCTGGAATTTCCTGAGATGAAAGAGCCGAGTGGCAAGGAGGTGCCAGAGCCCAATCACCTAAACGCAGGGGAAAGGACTGAAATGGGTGAATGCCGCCGAGCCAGACAGCCGAGGACAGAATCCTTCCTTTAGCCCTGCTCCAGCGCTGGACTTAATCTGCAGGGAGCTGCATGGGGGGGTGTGACTACGAATTAAGGGGAGAGGGATAGCTCAGTGGTTTGAGCATTGGCTGCTAAACCCAGGGTTGAGAGTTCAATCCTTGAGGGGGCCATTTAGGGATCTGGGGCAAAAATCAGTACTTGGTCCTGCTAGTGAAGGCAGGGGCTGGACTTGATGAGCTTTCAGGGTCCTTCCAGTTCCATGAGATGGGATTCGAATAATAAATAATTAGGGAGCTACACCTGTTTCCCACTGTTGAGCTCTCTCTCTCTCCTGCTTCCTTCCCACTTTCTGCTCACGGGGAGGGGGGAAATGGTGCTTTCAGTGACAATGGAGAACCAGATCACCAACTTCCCAGCATTAACAGGCACGTAAGAAAGAACAAGCTTAAAAATACCCTCTGGCTAGTGTTGCTTTCAGGGAACGGCTGGGTGGGAACTATAGCTTATAAATAAACACAGAACCACAATGTTCAATGAGGACCCTGCTCAACTACTAAATGCACTTAAAGTTCAGCTGGTAAACAACTGCTTGGGGCTGGTGTTTCTACCCTGTCTAACCCGGGGGGGGGAGGGGGAGAGGGACGGGCTGGGCAGGTTTACTCAAGACGGGATGGAAGGGGGTAAATCCTCTCTACAGATCACTGCCCAGCTGGAGTAGTGAGCAGGTCAGGGCAGCCAAGGTCCCGCAGGAGGTGAAGAAATAATGGGACAAAACTCCCTTTTCATAAACGCAATGTTGTGTCCTGAAGTTGGCGGGGTGAGGGCGGTAGGGAAACTCTGCCGCTTAGAAACCACGGCAAGTCACTGTTCGCTGGGGCCACTTCCAAGCTAGGGGGGCCCGGCGGAGTTCTTCAGTTCGATCACACAGCATTTGCAATGACTGAGGGAAGAAGAAAATAGCACCTGGGTTCATCCTATGCAAGCCCAGTCCAACTCCATAAGATCTTTGCTTTTCGAGGAGAGGATCATCTCCCCCTCTTTCCCCAACTCTGATTTCCAGGGGAAGGGGGTATTCTGCTGGGGGTGTGGGGGCTGACAGTGGTGTTACACCTCTTGCACGGACTGTAGCGTTCACCAGGCTTTGTTCCCAGCACAACAGCCAGGCCGCAGCCCCTCTTGGCGCTTTAGGGGGACGGAGATGGAGCTATGTTCTCTTGTCTGGCCGAAGCTGGGCTGTTGTCTAGATATAAACAAAGCAGAATCCCCAGGAGCAGGATCAAATGGGTTTAAGTGATTGGGGGGGGCAGCGATGGTTCTCGGAAGAGGTGGCTCATCAGAAGAAAGGCCGGGAGGGAGCCGGTCGCCTGGTCACAAGAGAGAAGAAAAACACCATTGAAAGGTTTCTCAGCTGAGAGTGTTGGTGGGGGCTGGCTGTGGGAAAGGAATCTCAGTCCCGGCTCCTGCCGGTCAGGACTGGGAGCTGGTTACAGCTGCCTGGGGGAGACCCCCTAGACTGGAGCAGCCCCCTTGGGGAAGTGGTGGAAGGCCCAGCGCCGTGAACACAGCTACTGCCGTGGAGATCAGGCCAGGAAGGCTCGGCCCTGGGAGTGACCTACAGTGGAGGTTGAAGCTTTTTCTACCTGGAACTCTCTAAAGAGCTCCCAGCAGAGAGCAGCTGCCTGGTTCTAGCTTCATCCTACTTCCTGCTGGGGAGGAGTGGCTTGAGCACAGAGGATGGCTGGGGTCTAGGCTGTCATGTCCGTAAGTGAATCACTGACTCAGTGCCTGACTCTGTGAAAGGGGAGCAGCTGCCGTCCTAAGGCGCTTTGAGACCTGCAGCTGGGCTACGGCAAAGCGTCCCTTCTTGAAGTCAGGGCCAGGTGGTTAGGTTTGCCCCCAGTAGGGTTGAGGTGGTTGATTTAAATCACCACTTCCCCATCAGCCTAGTAGGAATGCAGCCACCTTCCATCGATTCCCTCTTCCTTTGGGTTGGGTGCCTGAGTCTGAGACAAAAGCCTCCGGTGACTCCTCAGCCAGGCTCCAGCCTGACCCACGCTGGTCCAATGGGGATTTTCCTACCTAGGGCTGCTGTGAGTCTAGAGAACAGCAGCTGGGGCAATCGCCAACCAACTGCAGCGAGGCCCTGGGCCGGTTTGCAGAGACGAGCCAACTGGCTGGGGTCTGCTCTTAGCCACAGCTGTAAATGAACGAGTGCAGGATTTCAACTGTCACCCCAGCTTCACCCCCGGGAAGCGCAAGGACCCGTTTCCCACAAAGCAACTGCTAGATGGCCCCGAGTGGTGCCTAGCTAGAACCGAGAGGGGTTTCTGCTGCTATTGCAGGAGGGCAGGGGCTAAAGATTCCTACTTAGCACATGACCTGTGCTCCCCTGGCAGAGACAACTCCGTGCAGGTCAGGCCATGCTCCCTGGGAGACAGCAACTTCCCTCCCAGGCAGGGCATCTAAAACGTCCGCACAGGGACGCAGAGCACTGCCACTGCCGCACACACTTGCTCTTCTCCTGAGCGGGTTGTGGCAGCTTAGCCTCGCTGCTTCCAGCGCCCACCCTGCTGAGCTGTGGTGGAGGAGCCTGTTCTTAGCAAACAGCACCATCCGGCGGCACCATGGGGGTTACAGCTTTAATCCACAGGCCTGCAGCACTGTCTAGGGACCAGCCTGCTCAGTTCTTGCGCAACTCCCATTCTAGCTCCTCGTTCTTACAAATCCAGGCTGGTTTGCCTAAATCAAGGGCTGCTGCAATTCCTTGCGCCTGCATCGAGAGGACGTTCCTTGGCAGTGGGGAAAGGACAGAGAAGCCTGACAAACAACAGCCTATTCTCAAGTATCCAAGATGTCTAGGTGGGACAATTAGCCCACCCTTGCTTACCCCAACACCACTCCGGCTCAGCCCTAAGGCTGGCAGTGCAGGCAAAGTGACTAGGAAAGGGGGGAGCAGTAGCTCACCCCAGCTCTTTGCTCCCCGAGAGTTCTGTTTCACTGACACTAGGCTATGCCCCCACCAGCGAATCCAACACTGGTGCCAGCTCTGCAGCCTCTCCCTTGTGGAGCAGGGGTTGCTGTAGAAGGGCTTCAGGCCCAGGCTACGGCCATCAGGCCGCCCTGGAGCTCACCAGCAGCTCGCATGGAACTTAGCTGTGCCATGAAGAAAGTACAGAAAAGAGCAAAACTGAAACGCAACCGGGGTGGCTGCCAGATCTGGGGGGGAGGGATAGTGCAGGGTGTTTGAGAGCTGGAGGCTTTGAAGAGATCCCTGACAAAAAGGAGGAAGAGGCTGGTTGATTTAAGAAGAAATGTTGCCATGCAGCCCGAACCTTGGTAAAAATATGGTTGAAACCACCTACAATAGCGCTGGCTGATGGAAATTTTTCAAAGCTGCTTAAGGGAAAAGGGGCTCAGATACCAGGTGATGGGCAGCTGTGTACTCAGAAGAGATGTGGATGCTTGGTCTGTGTTTGTACAGCACAACAGAGCCCTCCTCCATGACCGGAGCTCCTCCACCGCAACAAATAAACGCCTCTTTCCCATGACATCACAATGGGAACTGGGTCTGAACTGGGCCAGGGAGGCTTTTCACAACAGCTGACCCTTGAGGCGGATTGCGTATTGCCATGGTCACAAGAGGAGCATCGGACTTTCAGCTGTAGGTTCTCCAAGCTCCTTGGTATCCCTGTGAGTGCTTTAACGAGATGCTGCACGGCCCCTTCTCCCCCAGGCTCCCCCCTTCAGGAACAGACAGAAGGAGAAAAGAAGGGAGGAGGAGGCAGAAAACACACCACAAAGTGCCAGAGAGACTTGCCACCAGCTGATTTTTTTCCCTTTATTTTTTAGTTTATTAATAGGATACAGAGTGGAGGCACTTACACAATCAGCAAACTGAAGGAACAGGAGAGAAGTGGACTGGGGTTTGTAATCAACACGAGATGAGAGAGAGGTTCCAGAGCCCACTTCACACACGAGAACATCAGGGAGAGCTAGCAGGAGGCGGAACAGAGGCAATTGGATTTTGTAAAAAACAGACAAGCAAAGGGACCTCAGGAACCCCTGCGCAGGCAGCTCGAATGGCCAGAGCATCGATGGGAGTGGGCTAAGGACTGCATTGCACAACAGCCTAGAACAAAGCAGCTGCTGCTAGTGCAAGGAAATAGTGACAGTGTTGAAGACAAGCAGCAAGCCAGGCTGCCCCCTGCTGGAGCCAAGTTTTAATGGCCAGCAAGTTGCTAGGCATGTTTTTGGTTTGCAAGTTTGCTTTGTGAAGCCGGCAGCATGGCTGCCCGGGCCATGTCAGCTCGCACTCCGCCACCGTGCCGTCTCCATACAAGCGTTAATGCTTTTGGTTACCAGCGCCTGCGCTAAGGTTCAAATGCCAACGCCAGGAAGCAGTTCGGGTCCCCTCCCGCCACGCAGGAAGGGGAGAGGCCACGATGAAGACAGGCTCTTTGAAACAAAGGTTATTTAAGGCAGGCTGGTTCATGGATCTTTTCCATAGTTCTCTGGCTAGAGGATGTTGTTGGGCGAAGTATCAGCCCTACAGGTTCTCAGAGAGCAGAGGGTTGGGCTTGAACCGGATTAAAAAAACCCCAAACACCTCAAGATTTTACAATTAATAGTCTTTAAAAATATATATTTATATATATACACACACACACACATACACGCACACGCACGCACAGCCTCTGCTTCTGGCCCTGGTGTGGAGTGCTTTGCCAAGGTACCCGAGAAGGCACTGCTCAAGCACAGCTCGAGGGAAGGGGAGGTGCGTGGAGAGGCACAGAACGGATACTACGCCAAAGCCTTCCACAGCAAGTTTCCAGTTGCTAAACGCACTCCCTCAGCTTCCTCCCCAGTGAAGAGTCACATGCCCACGGTGCAGTACAGCCTCTCTCTCCTGGGCTAGATCCATGTACATAGCACTGTGGGCATCACAACCTCCCTTCCCCCATCCGACAGGAGTCACACGTTCTCCACCTGAGCTTTTGGACACCAGGGCCTGTTACAACCCCGGGCTGCCCACCAGCAGGAGGGAAAACACATCTGGTCTTTCATGGACATTGGCTGTGGAGCTCCTGGGAGTTTTGCTCCTAGAAAGGCTTCAGACAAGCCTTTGTCCACAGCCTGCGCTAGCCCTCAAGCCTGCCCCCAGCTGTCCAAGCCCTGGCTTTCGGTTACGAGACCCTCTGCTGCTCCAGCTGGCCTAGGACCCTGACCAAGTGGAGAACGAGCAAAGCAACCAGCTAGTGACAGAAGTTGCTACTGACACAGAACCCCGCCTGCTACTTTGGCGCTCTGCATGTCTCCCTTATGCTCATTCCATGGCCCATTTGGGGCCCCACCTGGCTTGGTATTTTGCTCATCCGATTGGGTTTGCTGAGGCTCATCAGCCCAGGGCCCTTTGGCTAAGTGCTTCTTTCACAGAACACAATCCAAGTTTGTCACTTACTAGCTGAACATAAGCCCCAATTGGGGGCCTGGGCACAGGGGCAGATATTGCATGAGGAATACCTGAGGTTCACAATCAGCCAAGCACCTCCTGACAAAGGGCTAACCTGAAGAGTCTGCTCCCATTTGGGGTGAATTAGGATTGAATTAGCAAATCACTATCTGCAGTCCCATTATTTCTCATATATAAATCTTCCTCCACGCTATAGAACTGAAATATAGCCTATGATCAGATTAGCAATCAAGTTTAGGGAAGGGCCTCAGGGAGGGGGGAAATCATTAAGTGTTTTATATAGAATATATTAACAATACAAAACAATTCTGGCTGGCTGAGGGGGGTGGAAGAGGAGCCAGAGACAGAAATCGGATCAGCCTGAATAGCAGGAGTTTAAGGAGATTCTGTGCAGAGAGAGAAATAGGACAGTCTGTTTCAACTGCCTTTCAGAACTCCCGTCTCTACTTCCTACATTCAGACGATCCCAAGGCAAGAACCCAGCTGGGGTTCATTGTGTGTTATTCAACAAAGTGCAAAAGTCAACCCCCAAAATAGAATCCTCTGCTTTTTATGACATCGTGGCGGTGGTGGGGGCGCTGAGTTGCGCTGGGGTATTCGTTCCGAGGGGTGGTGGTTCTCCTGAACCAGCCCCCCAGAGTGTAATGCCAGTTACCCACTTCCTAGCTGGGAAAGAGCAGAGAGCTGTGGGGAGAGGGGAGGGCCATCAGGACAAGGAACACAGCGACTGCCCTTAACAGACGCCATTGGTATTTACAAGGAAGGAGCCTGCTGTGCCCATCCCAGAGAAAGTCCACCAGGCTAACAGGAATTGGCCTTGGCTAGAACCACTCTGCAGAGCTGATCACAGTCGTAAGGTTTTTTAAACAAGAAATTAGACATGGGAGACGAGGGGGGGATTTCCCCTCTTCCTCCCCGCCCCAGACAGCAGGTGTGGGGCAGCCGCACCAGGCACACAGGAGTCACTAGCAGCCCCCCAGGGGGCTAGTCTAGCAAGGAGGGCTCAGCCGGTCGGATAATGGTTGGCCGGTTCGGCGCTGCGGGGGGTCTTCTGCTGCAGAGAGAATGGGAAGAGGTGAGAGCAGTAGGGAAGGGGCAGCTAACATCCTGGGCGCTGTGTGGACAGAGGGCTAGCGAGAGCCCCGCCTGCCCTGGAGCCAGAGGGCTCCGGGATCCTGTGCCTGGAGCGGATTACTGAGGAGGGCTGGGTGCAGCGCTGCAGGCCCGCTGTCCTCTCCCAGCACCACCCTGCCAGGGCACAGGCTCAGCTGACTCCAGAGCCTGCTGCAGGACTCCTCGATGGCCTTTGTGCTGCTGAGCTGGCTCCACTCTCCAAGGGGGACCCCGGCACTTGTCGCCTGGTGCTACCCCAGGGCACTGCTCCAGGGGCTGTAAAGGGAGGGGGGGTGGCAAGGGGTCATACAGGGGCACAAGTGACCACAGCATGAAACGGAGTCAGGGCAGCTCTTTCTGCTGCTGGGTCAGAGCAGACCTGACACTCAGCCCTTGGGAGCTGCCTCTGGACTGGGCAGGAAGGGGGAGCTAGTCACCTGCAGTGGCCTCAGGGCACAGCGCCTGCTGGGAGGGGAGCCGTTCCTAACCCTGTCGCTCAGGGTTTGCCTGGAGACAAGGCAAGTACGAGGGACCTGCTGCCTCGGTCATTCCTGTATGACACTGAAACACTGTCTGTCCCATGGGAATCCGACCTCAGATACCTGCAGCACATCCACTCTAGGAGGGGAAGGGAGATGGACGGATGCACACAAAGGCACCCCTCTGCCGGTAATAAGGGACCGAATTCTGCCCTCAATCAAAGCAGAAATCGCTCAGACCTGGCCTGAGCTGCAAGGCTGGGATCCCAGCTCTGGGGTTTGAGACAAGCTCAGCACCTCCCACAAGCCATGTGACCCCAGTATGGCTCCAGCTCTGGTAACAAAAGAGCCCTGCTACCACCCTCTGCGCTGGCATGTCTCACGCCACCCAAGGCAGACTGGAGCCCCAGCACTGAGCCAATGGCTGGAGACATGCCAGGAGGTCCAGGGATCTCTTACCTGGGCACGCCCGGGGGAATGCCAGGCGGAATGCGTGCCGGCCGTGATGGAATCTGAGGAGGGGCTGAGAAGGGATCGTTATTAGCAGCAAATACGTTCTGAGGTCCAGGACGCGAGGGGATGGGGGGAGCCACAAAGGAAGAGAGACTCCCTGCAGGGGCAGGGATCAAAGGGGGGCCTGGAGTTGGGCCCCTCACAGCTGGGGGCCTGCCTGGCGGCAGCACGGTGGAGGTAGGTCTGCGCTGGGGCGTCGGGCTGCAGGGGAAAGGAAGTTCAGCAGAATGAGTGTCTCCATCCCTAGCGACAGAGTTAGGTGCTTATCTGGCCCTCCTCCCCACCCGACCATTTCCAGCACCCCCCGGGCAGGAGGGGTCTCCCGTTCCGAGGCACAGGGCAGCCGAAGTCACTGGCCCAAGGGTGTCTAGGGGAAGAGCCAGGAACAGAGCCCAGGTCTCCAGCTTGCCAGGGCTTTACCCACTAGGCCATCTTTCCTCAACCCCATTCCCACCTCAAATAGCTCCTTGCCCCTCCGCTCCTTCCAGTGTCCCCATCCTCGCTTAGAAGCAGCGTGGCAAGAGTCTCCCACGCCACCCGCTCCCTGGTTACCTGTACCTGCTCCCACTCTGCAGCCAGGCGTCATCCACGGGCGGCGGGACCGGCGTGGAGACCGTACTGGTGCTGATGTCCCCGATGATGTGCAAGGCCTCCTTCAGAGCATGGTACATCCGCAGCATGTCGTCCCTCCTCTGCGCCTGGTCGGCCGACTCCTCCATCAGACTGTTCTGGTCTGCGGAGGAGTACAGGTAGGCCAGCAGCTCCGAGTGGATGAAATCCTTGGTCTGCAGAGATGGGAGCAAGGGAACCAACATGCAGGTGGCAGTTAAGTTTGAGCCCATTAAGCTTGAGTACGGTCTAGTGGTTAGGGCAGGGAAAGCCGGGAGTCAGGTCTCCTGGTGTTATCCTAAGCCACTGTCACTGGATTGCTGTAGCAGTCTGGGACAAAGCCAGGAATCACACACTGGCCTTACACGCTTTACCCCTTGATTTTGGTAAGGCAGGGAGTTCAGGACCAAAGGGTCATTAAAATATCTCAGCACGGGAGTATCTGATGCAACTGATCTTACCCCTGGTGCTGAAAGGAGTCGTGTCCCCAGTGACAAGCCCAGAGGTTCCCCCCTCTAACGAACAGGCCATGGCGAGGACAACGCAGCCCCAGGTGCAACCCACTCACATTGTTTATCATGAGGTGCATTATGGTCTTTGGCATGAGGTCCCGGATGGACTTGTTGATGATTCCCACGTAGGAGTCGACAAGGTTGCGGATGGTCTCCACCTGGCGCTCCAGCTGCGGGTCCATGGAGAAGGTGTTCTCTTGGGCCCCATCCTCATTCTCCACCTGCTCAAGGAAAGCGGGTCAGTCACTCGGGGATTCTGCAGATGCCCAGGTTGGAGCTGTGGACAGTGTCCCCCTTAAGAACTGGTGAGCGCATCCCATGCATTGGTTGCTCCTGTGCCAATTTCACAGAACTTCCCAGCTCATCATCTAGTATTTAGTATCAGGGGGCAGCCGTGTTAGTCTGTATCCACAAAAACAACGAGGAGTCCGGTGGCACCTTAAAGACTAACAGATTTATTTGGGCCTAAGCTTTCGTGGGTAAAAACTCCACTTCTTCAGATGCATGGAGTGAGAATTACAGATGTATATTTATAATTTACAGATGCAAGCATAAATAGACACTAAGTATATTTATGCCTGCATCTGAAGAAGTGGGTTTTTACCCACGAAAGCTTATGCCCAAATAAATCGGTTAGTCTCTACGGTGCCACCGGACTCCGCGTTGTTTTCATCTAGTATTTGGACTGCAGTAGCATCCTGAGGGCCCCATTGGGTAAGGTGCTCTACGTACCCACCCCCACCCAGAGAGCTCAGTTTGGGGCGTGACTAACAAGTTCAGGTGCCCAGCTTGGCCCTATAAACAGGCCTGATTTTCAGAGGGAGGGAGTTCATTTTGCAAAAGTCAGGCCCCGTTAAGGGGGTCTTAAACGAGGCACCCCAAAAAACCCACACATCGCTTTTGACAATCTTGGCCTTCATCCTCCTCTCTGCAGAGCAGAGGCTGCCATCACAGCGATGAACTGCCGACGAGAGGGAAAGGAGGTACGTCTGCCGTTGGCAAGGAGACATGGTGGTATGGGAGAGGCTGTGGGCTCATGGACTGGGACTCGGGTGACCTAGGTTCTAAACCCAGTTCTGCCACTGACCTACTGGGTGAACCCGGCCAAGTCACTTGACCTCTGTGTCCCCGCGCCCTCTGACTGGCCTGTTCAGACTGGAATCTCTTCGGAGCCTGGAGCTTTTACAGCGTTTAAGGCCAGAAGGGACCATTCGATCACCTAGCCCAGCCTCTGGGATAGCACAGGCCAGAGAATTTCCCCAGTTATTCCAGTCACTTGTGTTTGGCTAAAGCAGGGGTCTTAAACACACGGCCCGCGGAGTTCTTTGCTGCGGCCCGCCAAGCTCCCTGCGCCCCCCCACCCCCCCGCGAGTTATTTCCTGCGGCCGCCAAGCTCCCCTCACTGCCACGCCCCCCTTTCTCCCCAGCGCGCCGCGTTCCCGCTCTCTGCCTACCTCCAGGTGCTTCCCGCTGCCAAACAGTTGTTTGGCAGCACTCAGCACTTTCCAGGAGGGAGGGGGGAGGAGCGTGCTATGGGGAGGGGGCAGGGCAGGGGTGGGGATTTGGGGAAGGGGTGGAGTGGGAGCAGGACTGGGGGCAGCGTGTGTGTGCGCGCGCGCGCGCCTGTCCGTCGTGGTCATTTGGGTTTGAGACCCCTGGGCTAAAGCATCGTCCAGGCTGGATCTGCAGCCATCACGAGGGGGAGAGTTCACCACCTCCCCTGGGAGCCTGCTCCAAGGTTAACCACTCTTCCTAGGCCTCTGTGCACTGGCCTAATCTCTGCTAGGGCCTCTAGGTATTACCGGAATACACCAAACACTGGACAAGCCTGAGTGGGGAACCTATGCTAGGAGTCAATTTTTGACACTCCTGTACTTGCAGCTGCTGGCAGCCCCCACACTGGCCCTCCCAGCGGGCACCCCCAGCCAGTTCCAGGATATCATCAAGGAAAAGGGAATGTTTACTTGGTCTTTCTCTGGATAAACACCAGCCCGGAGGAAGGAGGCTTTCCAGCTGTCCACATCTTCCTGGGAGTCACAGGCCAGCTCAATCTGACGGAGATCTTTATACACATTCCTAGGCACGAAGAAACAGTGGGGGTATAATCAGAGGGAAGGAATTCCACAATCATGGCCTGGTGGGCCATCTCTATTGTTGGCCTAGACCAGGCAGCCCAAGGCCACTGACAGAATCCACCATCCCAGCTGGTACATGCAGGATCCCTTTCCTACAGGGCTCGGTGCTAACGCAAGGCCTCAGACTGGGAAGTCTGAAATCCCTTCAGAAAGCCTGTGTAAATATTGGCAGCTTTTCCTTCCTCCTAGGATAATCCTCATTAGATCACAGCTGCTCCCACCTCCCACACGCCACCCACTGGGCACGCTCCCCCTGGCTAAGCCTGGCGCGCCACCTGTCTCAAGATGAGCGCCCACCACCCCAAATGGAGTCAGAGTCGAATTAACCAGTACGGCAAGTGATCCAAGCGTTGCCAAGCACAGAAGGGCTAGGGCAGCCTTTTCCAGAGTGTGGGGCGCTAGCCCAAAAAACTAACTCTCCAAAGCGGCTGCTTTAATTGGAGGGGAAGGGAAAGAGTTTTTCGTCGTCATGGTTGCAAAGGAAGCCTCCAAAGCACAACTGATGCAGCAGTAAGGACTTGAGTTTGAGAGAGCCTGAAACAGTTGCTGGAGAGGGACGAGTTGTCCCATTCACCAGCGCTGACTGTTAACAGTCTTGGTCTTTGGAATACCAAGAGCACATCAGAAAGGGGCCATGAGACATGAATCTCCTCGGCCATCTCTACGTACAGTATACGCCGGGTGCCCAGCTGTTTGGGACAAGGCCTCCCCTCGTGGTGGGGCTAAAGGGTAGGCGGCATAATCGCTTGTTTCCCTGACGGGTTCAGCTTTCAGGAGCCTGGGAAACACTGTCAAAGCTCCCTCAGGGTCTGTCTCCACATTCCCTACCTTTGCTCCGTGTTGAAGATGGCAAAGACGTGTTTGTTAGACATGAAGCCCTTCTCCACATCCCGGATTTTCAGATTATCCAAGGGCAACATGTATTTCTTCTCCTTTTCCTGAAAGGGGGAAAAAGGACAAGAATGAGCGTGAGCTGGGACCTGGGCAGTGTTTCCTCCCCAGTCTAATTACTCTCCAACATCCATCCCGTGGCACATAGTGAAGTTGAGTCCCTCGGCCGAGCGGACCAGGTTTTTCCTCCACCTCACAGCAAACCTCGTTTGAGGCACAGACTCATTTCGGCTGAGCTACTAGGTTGGTTCATAGGAACTGCCAGTCCAGGGGCCCCATCGAGTCGAGTATCTGGACTCTGACGGAGGCCAGTACCAGCTGCTTTCAGAACCACCAATGTTCAGGAGACGGTGACGGGATAACTTGCCTCCAGGGACAGTTCCCACCGAACCTCAAGTAGTTTGGAAACCTTGATGCTTCGCATCCACCGAAGTGCAGGAACACACAGCTCTGCAATGCAGTGCTCTCTAGATCCAGGCTGACAGTCCCCAGCCCTAGCATCGGAGTCTAAATTATTAACCACAGACTAAAAATGTCATGCAGATACTTCTCCACACAGTCCTAAGGGCCCCGGGCTTAGTTAGTTTCAACATAAATGTTACCTTTCTCTAAGGAGGTGCTAGAACAGAAACTACGTTTGTCGGGAGGGGGATCCGGTCCCCTGCAGGCCCCATGGGTAGTACTGGGCCTTTATGCCAGCTGCAGCACAGCTGTAAACCCATTTTGCATTGCAACAGCCATATGAGGGCTGGGCAGCCTAATGGAACGTATGCGAGTGCCCTCCGAGTCCATGTGTCTCTCCCACTCCCCTTCCAGGAGAGCGGGAGAAGCGGTTTTAGGAATCTGGCACAAAGGACACTGCTTATTTAACAGGCTGCAGGCCAGTGAAGTGAGGGGCCACCCAACTGAGTCACACAAGCCGTCTTGCTGCCGAAACGCCACATCTGGAATTGTTTATAACTCCAACTGCCCTGTGTCTCCAGATGCTGCGCGCACACAGCCCCAAAAGTGACGTTCTCCTTTGTAGAGAGGCCACGAACCTAAACCCTCCCCCCACAGCCACCCCCCACCCCTCCGTATGATTTCCTGAAAAACCCACAACTTTTTTCCAGACTGGATTTGGTTGCAGGCTTTGCCACGTCAGATGAGACAAAGCGGATCCTTTTCACCGAACAGCTTCTCTTATAAAAACCCGGGAGGGGGAAAAAGGGGGAAAAAAAAGCAACCCACAAAAACCATGGATGCCATGGGAGGTTTGAAACCGATTCCAGCCCAGCCTGCCCAGTGTTCAGACTACCTGTTCAGGAGGCTATAAAGGTGTACAGTAGTCTGCACATTGGTTAGATTGGGTTTGGTAAAGCAGCACCCGGGAGCAGCTCAGCGGACCCAGGTAAGGCAGGCAACGTATGCAGCGGCTAGAGGCTTCGCTTGCCCTCGTTTTATCGTAAGCCTTGGAGCAAATGTTTATCGTTAGCTGTTCTGATCAGCTAGAATTAACCAGGTGCAGGAGTTCTTATGGCTGCTCCAGTCACAGATGGGTTAGTCAGATTGATGTTTAAACCCATGTTGCTTTATGGTTCCATATTTAATACGCTTTCTCTCGCATTTGCCTAGACCAGTGCTTTTTTTAAAGTGCTTTTCCAGCGCCAGCGGCTGCTGGGTGTTTCTGGAAATTCTCTGCAAGCAGCAGCTCATTTCTAGTGGCATGGGGGGTAGGCAATTTGTGCCTGCTGAATACAGAGCCTCATTCATCTGCAGCCTGCTGGTTCTCATTACCCACAGCAGAGGGGCCAGACAAGCGCCCCCAGAGAGGCCTCCCCACAGGAAACGGGCTGCCTGGGATGGGGGTAGGGGAATAGGCTAGAATGAAATGTATCAGTTCTACATGTTTCCTTCTCTGTTAGGAGGTCAATTTAAGGTTTTTTAACCTATCTAGATTTACAGCCTCTCTGCGAGGAGAGGTTAATCTTTGCAGCTTGCTTGGAAGATAAAGGACAAGAACAAAGAACATCTGGGTCTTCCTCAGGTAAGGGGGCTGCCTCCTGGAGCTGCTGTTAAACTGTACAGCGAGACGGGGAAATAAAGTTCTGTTAACATCTCCTTTTCTGAGCAGCATGTTCACAGAAACGAGAGCCCCCCGCTCACAATCTCTCTTCTGCCCACCGGTCCATCTCTCTCCATCCAGCCCTGCACCAACGCCAAGCCACTGGAGCCTGGCTGCGAGACGGGTGACACGGGGAGGGAAAAATATCCGTTTTTCAGACTGTGGGGGTGGAAGTGCTGGAAAATGTGAGTGTGGCGTCTCTGTTCCAGACACTGGGGAGTGGTGCTTAGAAGGGACGCTGCCTCTGCTGCTTCTTCCAGCCCCTGCAGTTGACAGGAGCACAGGCTAGGATACGACAGATACCCCTTCTGTTCGGAGCTCTGGCCCGATCTCCCTAGCCGAGAGGACTAAGCCCAAAGAGGCACCAGCTTTCACCAAGACCTGCCAGACTGGTGTAATGAATTTAAATTTCCAGGCAGAAGCAGGGGACTATGGGGACTGATCCAGTGAGTGTTAGGGAAGCAGCATGGCCTAGTGGCCAGAGTACTGGCTGGGGACTCAGGACTTCTGGGTTCTATTCCCAGCACTGCCACTGGCCTGCTGGGTGACTGTAGGCAAGTCACTTCCCTCCCTGTGCCTCAGTTTGCCCATCTGTACAATGGGGCCAGTGATCCTGACCTCTGAAAAGCACTAGGTAAGAGCCAGGTGTTATTCAGTAACAATTCCCTGCGTCCAGTTGGCCGAGAGGCCCCCCAGGTTGCATAACAACATGGCAATTTTGTGCCCACACAGTAGTGATGCAAATCCCTCTGATCTGACAGGCTACTGCAGTCTGAACACCCCAGCCGCCTGCCCACACCACACATGGCCATCTCCGCTTCCGAGCGCCACTATCCCTTCCTCCAGGGACCAGGAGAGACAACGAACAGCCGCGAGTTCAGTGGATCTGGCGCGCTAGGGGCACCCGGCTAGCCAGTGGCCAGCTACTGCCAAGCCCAGATCACATTTGTCTAAGCCTGAAGGCACTCCCTGTCCACTCGAATAACCACATGCGGGAGGCACGCAGTGCCACCTCAGCACGTGGTTACTATCCCAGCAAGAACCTCCTGAGTGACTGTGGAGAGGATGCTGCCAAGGGTGAATTTTCAGACACTGCCCCAGCATAGAATACTCGGAGCGCTCCCAACTCCCACGAGACTGCAAAGCCCCACAAGACGGCAATGAATGCCGAGAGGTTTGACTTTAGCAGCCAGCCCCAGGACACACTGCTATGAGGCGTGTCAGACCCACACTCGCCAGCTAGCGGCTTCCCTTAGGTTAAGGCTAAGCCCCTACAATGAAGCGGATTCCCCCACTGATTTTTACTTGGTGAAACTCACTCCACCTCCTGTACCTTTCTGGCTCTCATGCACTGGCACAGCCCTGCAATGTTTAAACCCAAATGACTGTTCCACAGACGCTGGTTATTAAAAAGCCTCCTAAATCTCTCTGAACGACTCTGCAGTGTCCCTAGCTGCAATGGCTGGGAGAATTCTGCATCTTGGGCGATTGCAATTTCCCTTGGTTAGGGCGCGTGTGCACACACGGGGTTTGAACCGCGGAGAGTTCCCTATGAGCTCAGGACCCCTTCAGGTCTGAAATCTTGTGTATTTCAGTGTGTGGCTGTTCAGTGGAGGTGAGGGGGGTCCTGTTCTCTCTACTAGCCCAGGGGTTAATGATTTTGGAAGCTTCTTGCAATGCTGGTTACATCAGACAAAAACCACCGAGACACTGGGGTAGAGACGTGGTTATGAGGAACTGTTTGGCACTTGCAGTCATCCCTGTGTGAGATACGCTGCCCCCACTAGACCAAGGCAGCTGCCTCTTGTATGAGTCCCACTAGCTCCACTTCTTATCTGCTGTTTACACAACTGACAGCTCCCTGGGAGTGTCTGGAGACATGGAATGTGCTGGCTGGGACCCTGCTGATTCAGAATGGCTGCCCATATAGTGACAAGAAGTCTGGGTCTTATTCCTGGGTGCACTTTAGCACACAGGGAGATGGCCGGGCATCACTGACAGTCCAGTGGGGTCGTCAGCAGAACCTTCCATGGATTCAAACCCAGCAAAGCAAGCCAACACACAAACCAGCCGCCTTCGGGCCCAGCGCAAGTCCATACTCCAGCTATTCCTGAGGGGAGTCAGCCAAACTTTACCACACTGGATTCAGGAGAAGGGTATGAGCCAAAGCATCTTTTGGGACTAGCCCATGCTCCCCTCAGTTTCACAGGCAGCTGAATTTGGTAACTCTCTGCCCTGCCAATCCCACATGCCCCTACCACAGCCTGGGTCCTGTGGCCATGCCCACCACCTTGCTCAGAGAGCAACAACCGGGTTCTAAAGCGATGGCAGGAAAGCAGTGACTGGGAACAGCCCCAGAAGCTCACAATGAACCCAGAGGTTTGACTTTAGCAGTCAGCCCCAGGACACTCACGATCGGCAACGGTGACAAACTCCAGGGGAAGTGGCTGCTCAGTCATGTTCTTCTAGACATTCCCATAATGCAGCTAGAATTCAAGGGTTTGAATCCCAGGGCTGGTCGGCCCCCCCCCCCCAGGGTTTCTGTAGTGACGCTACAAGCTGCAAGTCAACCCAACAGGTTTCACCAGTAGCAGTTTAATCACAGAATATCGGGGTTGGAAGGGACCTCAGGAGCTCTTCTAGTCCAGCCCCCTTAATGAGCTGCTGGTGGTGGTGAAGCGGCACGAGAACATTCACTATGTGCAGAGCGGCAAGGCAGAATGCCCCAAGCCATCTGCTGATCACAAGCACCACCCTTTACTGTCACCAACCAAGCCAATACGCACCTCCTCATCTTTGTACCAGGACAAAGACTCTGCAGTCAGCACGAACCAGTACTCCTTGGAGCCTCCTTTCATTATGCTGATGTTGTTAATCGTCAGCCAGCCCCTGCGGATTACCTGGAGGAAACAAGAGGAGTGGGAAAACGATGGGGCAGGGGAGAGAATAGGTTACAGGCTAGCTTGGAATCCTTATTTTCTGGCCACCCTCTCAACTTTAAGCTGCCTAGAGCAGAGAGGGGTCTGGGGCTTTCAGACTCCTAACATGCTGCTCATCGTTAGCCTGGGCCCTACTTTCCTTCGGAGTCTCGACAGGAGAGTTTGTGGGTAGTGTCTGCCCCATGAAAACCTACCAGTGCTAGGCAGGGAAGCAGCCCCATTCCTCAGAGGGAGCCTGGCACATTTTTCCAGCAAGGAGCCCAAAGTGGGTTTTACCAAGAATAATAAGACAGGCCTGCAGATCTGACCATCTCAGTTGCATTCACACCTAGATTACAGCTCTCCAGGCAGAGGGCGGGGCCCCTTTGGAGAATCCAGACCAGAGAGGCACTGGCCACAGCGTCTGTACGGCAAGACAAAGACAGCTGGCTTATCCCGTGGTGCTTCTGCCAGCCGTCACCAACGGCCTGGGGCACAGAGATGCAGAGCAGATGCACTCAAATCCACCTGGTCATCGCCACTGCGGTATTATGGGGGGGAGAGGAGGGGAGTCTGAGCCCGCCATTTATAGGCTACCCGGGTGCTACTCACCCAAGGGACCAAAGAGCTTTCTGGAAATAAGCCAACCTTAAGGGGCCAGGGCACGGATCCCCTGAATAGCCAGTCCAGGAACGAGGGTATTTGTTCCCCTCATCCCCTTCAGAGCAGGAAGTGAGTCCACACAACCTTGCGCCCCCTTCGAGAATGGCCAGGACAACACTATAGCTAGTTTGAACAGGGGGGTGAGCAACTCCCCCCCTCGACCACCACCTCCATTCTTCCGCTCCCCAAGCTGCACTCACTCACAGCAGGAAGCACATCTGGCTTCCTTCAAGGCTGCCCTGGACTTGCCACTAGAAAGCCTGTGAAACCATCACTCCTGCATGGCCTTCGGAAAGACTGGGCCTCCCCAAGCCAGTGCTGAGTGACACGCATAGGACGGCAACAGCAGAACGGGAGCCGGGGCCAGCCACGGTGAAGCAGTACTGCCCAAGCCCAGCTTCGCAAGCAGCACGTTACGAGACGAGGAGGAAGCAGTGCATTGTCTGGAGGCTTGCACAGCAGCTGGCTTTTCCAGGGCAGGCAGAAGCGTTTCCCGTCACCCAATGAGCAAACAGAGGCCAGCGTGACTCAGACCCCTCTTACGTAGGGCTGGAAGGGACCTTCTAGGTCATCTGCTAGCAGAGGCCGCCCTGCCATATAACCCTGTTCATACGCTTATCTGGATCATCATTTTGACTGGAAAGGGACTACTGCTGGCCAACATCCTCGCCCCCACGCAGCCTGAGGAGAAAGCGGAATTACAGCTGCTAGCACTGGCTGCTCTATAGCCTGTACCATCAACGCTACTGCTAAGGCTCTTGGTAAAAAAACTCAGGCACTGTTCTCTCCCCTGTGTCTTTCCACTGAGGAGAAAGTATCTGGAGACCTCCTCAAAGAACAACCTGAGTCTCAGCTGCTATAATCCCAGTGCTCAGAAATCTACTGAGCCAAATTCATCACTGCTCGGAACACCGCTCGCTCCGCTGAAGCCAGGGGAGGATCTGGTCCTAGAACGTGGGTTTTTGTCCTGGAAGCAATGGACTTCGGAGAGCAACTCCCAGCAGTGGGTTCCCTAGAACAGCCAATGGTATAGAGAAGTCTCCAGTCTGGATATTCCAGCGTTTGTCTTTGCTATCCCTTGCCTTGGTTGAAGTTTTTCATAACCGATCACCACAAAGGCAAGTCTTGGCAGCCCCCGAGGGGCCACTGAAAATTAGTGTCTGAAACCAGAGAGTCGTCATTAGTCCCACTCTCCAGACAATCCCATTTTGTTTTGTACCAAAAAAGCCTTGGGGCTAAAAAGCGGCTCACTGCTCAGCCAAACAGGGCTAGGCTGTGTCCTGTTACGCTGATCTAACTCCAGTGACCGACGGTAGCACTGGAGACTACAATGGAACGGCAGAGCCTGCCCCAAAATACTTGGCGAGGTGAGAATTTTCCAGTGTTTCAAATCAGGAAGGAGTTACTCAGTGCCTTTTGGGCCCCTTCACTGTTGTCGTGCAATAGCTACTGAGAAGAGCACTGCAGGTTACTGCCGAGCTGTCTGAATACAACAGACCCCCTTCCTTTGCCTCTGGAAAGTCTTTCCCGGTCTTGTCCACAGCGTAACAACGTTACCCTACATTACTTGTAACTCTACCTCAGGGTCTTAATGTAAAGGACTACTGTGAAAGCCAATGACACACAACTGGCCCAGCCCAAAGACTACAGCACATGGATACCGGATGCTAGTCTTCTGCTAGTCCTTTTTGCCTGCATGACCCATTTCCAGATGCTAAGGGGACCCAATCACTCAAGCCTGGGTTTTAGTTTCCATTAGATCAGGCCAAACGGCCTTTATCAGCTCTCTGAACATTAAGGTTACCCAGATGCCAGTGAATCTTTGATTTCTGGCCTGCTGAACTCCCCAGGGTGGAGGATTGTCCGGGAAGCCACTTATGATGAACAGCAAACCAATGCGAGTGAGTATGAGAAGCCTGCTATGAACAGCCATTTAACAAGCATCAGATCCTGTAGCAACACCACAGGCTTGGTAAACCCAGAAGAGATTACAGCCTGGAGAACTGTTCTCTGGCCCAACATCCAATTGTTACAATATCCCAAGAATTGGGCTTTAATACCTTCTTTTGAAGCACATTCTACTTTGCTACCCCGCCCTCTTTTAAAGAGCTCACAATAGGATTGATGATCACTTAGTGCCTAGGCCGTGCGCTTCCAGTGGAACAGACTCCACAGCAGTCGGGCGTAGGCCTGGACTAAAGGCATCCACAGGGACTACATTTAGAGGGGCCGAGACGCTTCGACTGTCCAAGTAGGGTTGATCACAGGAACATCGAGGGCTACGGTCACTCTACCCAAGTGCTCTGCACATGTTAGCATCACCCTCCTGGTTAGTAATGCACAGACACGAAGGAAAAGCTTTCAGCACGTGTCTAGAGGGTTGTCTCAAATCAGTCCAACGGATGGATTGGAGGGGGGTAAGTGACCCACATGGTTATGTGGAGAAGAGTTAAACACGCTAGATCTTGGAATTTCTTTGCTATCGCTTATATAGCAGCCACCTGTCAGCAGCAGTGATACGAGCACCAAGAACTTGCGGCTGAGAATCTGACTAGGGCAGGACTTTAGTTCATATTAGCTTCTAGCGCCAGGATTAGTGTGTGAAGCAAGAGAAGCCATCAATTTCATGCCACGATTGTTCCAGATGTTGCTTGGGAACCATTGTCAAGGGAAATCACACTAAGGTTCTTCTCATTGTCAGTGCTGCTCAGGTGGCTACCGACATAAAAGCCACAACAAAGGCAAACATGTTACACACACACACACACACACACAAAGCTCAGTGCGTCGGCAGGCACAGGCTGCTAGAGCTAAAACTTAACTCATACAGATTTTCTGGCGGAGGGAAGGAAGGAGCCCTGAAATTGAGATGGCAAAAAGGAAAGCAGGTTAAAGATTTCACCCCTTAGATTCGCTCCCTTTTAGGTTCTCTTTTAAATTTGAGATTCTGATTCCCATTTAAACAAATCTGAATTTGAAGTGAATTTGGTTTTAAAGGACCAGAGGCAGAAGAGTGGAAGCAGGGTGTCTGACAGGTAGAGAGCATTAGAACGGAGTTGGCTTGTAGGCACAGCGCAGAGAAACAGGGCTTGGGTTGGTGGATTAGTGGCAGAGCCAGAGGCTTACACCTGGCCTCCTGGGAAGGCAATGATCAGCACTGGGGAAGGACAGAGACAGCTGTTTCAGGGCTGGGTGGGAGAGCTGTGGCAGCAGAGGCCCAGACGTTAAGGGATCAATTACGTAGCATGGAGCTAAGAGACTTTTAGCAGAAAGGAAGGACTTACTCCTGGGAGCCAGAAATGCCCTGTTCTAATCTCAGCTCTGGCATGGACTAGCTGGGAGGCCCAGGGCACCTCTCTTGCCCCAACAAACGGGCAAAGTGAGGCACCACTACCAAGCCAGCTCCCAGGAAGGTGGAGCAGATGAGCTCATTTGTACAGTATTCTAGTCACAGAAGCAGCCCAGTAGAACACCCAGAAGGAGAGTCCTTTAAAGACTGAATACTTCCCCTTCATTGATGAGTGAGACCCCACCAGGGAGCACACGAAGCACGTTTCTGGGACTGGCACCGCAGGCGGGATCCCTCTGCAGAGATGGACCGGAGCATGTAAATTCAGCTCTCTTGCCTCCAGCTTTGCACCGCTCCAAATCAGAAGCAGCCCAGTAGGATTGGCAGCTTACGTCCAGGATAGTCAGATCTCCACCTTCCCATCATCGCATTACAATCTGCATTCTTACAGCCAGCGATGGAGGACCAGCCTTGAGGGGACCGAATTGGAGACATGGGAGGCAACAGACAGGCCTTCCGGAGGATTCATTTAGTGCTTTGGAAAGGTCCATGAGATGCCACAAGAAAATGGAAGCAGCACAACTCTGGGAAACTTACAAGATGGCTATTGACGGCTGAGATAGAGGCTTGTAAGTTTCCAAAAGTAGGGAGGAGTCAAGCTGAGATCACTAGAGGGGTACCTGGGCCAGAACCTCAGCTGGTGTAAGTGACTGTAGCTCCATTGACTAATGGGGCAATGCCATTTATGCCATCTTCATGTGGGCAGACTTCCCCAGGGAGAGCATGAATGGGCACTGACTCAACCGTGGGAGGGGTTGGTTTGTCTCATCAGTGACCCCTGCATCAGAACCTGCCTTCTTGCCCGGGACTGGTGCCTTGCAAAATGCCACTAACCTAGGAGGATGTTTGATGGCAAGCAAAGCATTCTTTATGCCGGAGCTGCTGAGGCTTTCGCTGGGCTCATTAGATGCTTCTCTCCTGGGAGCCTGGACCTGCAGATGGTTCAGGGTCCCCTTGGTTTATTTGCCATCTTTAGTGGCAGCTCCACGCAATTCCTTGCTAACTTTTTGTGTTGGAGGATACCCAGAGCAGTGCCAAGGGTTGCTGGAATTCCATAAGGGTACGTGTCATCTTCTAGGGCCAAAGCCAAATTCTGTGTTGTACACTGAGCCACTACAAACTGGAAGGGGACCCACAACAGGCTCAAAACAAGCCAGTTAGCAGGGAGATAAGCCCTTAAAATCCCCACAGACCAGCGGTTCTCAAACTGAGAGTCAGGACCCCAAAGCAGGTCGCGACCTCATGTTAATGGGGTCGCCAGGGCTGGTTTAGACTTGCTGGGGCCCAAGGACAAAGCCCAAGGGCTTTAGCCATGGGCATCAGGACTCAGATTACAGACCCCTGTCTGGGACTGAAGCCCTTGGGCTTTGGCTGACCCACCCCCATAGAGCTCCGGCTAGCTCAGGCCTCAGTCCCCCCTCCTGGGGTCGTGTCATAATTTTTATTGTCGAAAGGGAGTCGCACTGCAATGAAGTTTGAGAACCTCTGCCATAGGCTAAGTGGCCAGAAGCCCAGACATCTAGTGGGTCTGAGCATAGTGGCAGTGAGGCAAGGAACCCAGCTTTCTACTCCCAGCTGTGACAAACTCAAGCGAGGCCCTTCCCCTCTGCGCTTCAGTTGCTCCACCACGTGAGGGCCAATGCTTAGAAAGCTCTTTGGAGAGAAGTAGTGCCAACCACCCTACTTAGCCAATCCCAGTTCGGACCAGGTCTGCCTCTGAATCCAGCATAAGGCACGTTTCCAGTCCACGTGGAAAAGGGGGCTGTTAGCTCCCTATTAAGGTGGTGTTGTTAGAGCTCCTTTTACCTCTGTCCCACCACAGCCTCGTGAGGACGTCTGACAGACAGAAGTGGTCTTCTCACGAGCCATTCCTAAGTGGCCTACAGTGTGTCTGTGTACATCTCCAAGGGAACACTGGGGAAAGTACCAGCAGGGCCACCCTGACCATGGTTAAAGACTCCTCCAGCCAGAAGCAACATGCATTTCCATTTTCTTGGGCAGTCTGTGAGATTTGAGCCCCAGGTACACACCAGCCAGTTTGTGACCCACCCGCTCCAGAGGGCACTGTTCGTCCCCAAGAAGGCAAATTGGTTTTAATTCAATAGAGACCTCACCCTCCCTTAGAAGCGAATACACTTAAAGGAAAAGCCCTATTTGGCAGCTGTTTGTACAGGCAGGCAAGTTACTCAGTTCTTCCTTACACAAAAGAAAGGATCATCTGAGGGGATCTTCCCCAGGGTAGCTGCCTGGGGGCAGACGGCTGTCAGAGAGGGCAGTTTGCACTGGTGCAGGTAACCCTGATTTCAGGCAGGGTTGGGTGCCACCAGCCATTTATGCTAGTGCAGCTACTGCAGTGGGTGGAATGCAGGCAGCTCCCAAGGCCTAGGAATTGGAGGCAGCAGTGCTGTCAGCCAGCCCGCAAGAGACCTGCCCCCACCCAGCCAATCTGGCTCACTGGGTTTACCCACACTTACTCCAACTCATGCTTTGCTTCCCATGAGAACCATAGGACTGGAAGGGACCTCGAGAGGAATCTAGTCCAGTCTCCTGTACTCAAGGCAGGACTAAGTATTATCTAGACCAGTGGAATTCAAAGCCGGTCTGCTGCTTGTTTAGGGAAAGCCCCTGGCGGGCCAGGTCGGTTTGTTTACCTGCCGCGTCCGCAGGTTCGGCCGATCGTGACTCCCACTGGCCCCGGTTCGCTGCTCCCGGCCAATGGGAGCTGCGGGAAGCGGCATGGGCCGAGGGATGTGCTGGCCGCCCTTCCCGCAGCCCCCATTGGCCGGGAGCGGCGAACCGGGGCCAGTGGGAGCCGCGATCGGCCGAACCTGCGGACGCGGCAGGTAAACAAACCGGCCTGGCCCGCCAGGGGCTTTCCCTAAACAAGCGGCAGATTGGCTTTGAGAACCACTGATATAGACCATCCCTGACAGGTTTTTGTCTAACCTGCTCTGAAAAATATCCAATGACAGAGATTCCACAACCTCCCTGGGCAATTTATTCCAGTGTTTAACCACCCTGACAGGTAGAAAACCTAAACCGCCCTTGCTGAAATTTAAGCCCATTGCCTCTTGTCCTATCCTCAGAGGGCAGAAAGTCCCCATAATGCAATGTACTCCAGCCATACTCTTTCCCCCGAAATGCCCCTGGAAGCATGGAAGCAGGCAGATGGAGGGATAAGAGATTGAAGGGGGAATATGATCTCACTACATCTATCCTAGGTATTTCTATGGCTCGACCCCACCTTCAAGGCATCAACGTCTCAGTTAAGGGCTGCAGCGTTATGAACTGTGGACTGAGTTGCCCTCTCAGTCCAAGACTGTTGGGTCCATCCAGGGCAGGTAGAAGAGGGGATTTCAGGTGATAAACGGGCATTTCAGCCTCCGGGGCTGTCTGTGCTCCCCACCTCACACCTGTGTCTCTCCCCACAATACGCCAGGAGTCCAGTAGTTTTTAAATCAGATCAGGTGATCCCACAAGGTTTCCCTCTGCAGAGAAGGATCCTAACAAAGCCACACTGCTCCATTTGGAAGGTGCCTGCTTTTCTAGACAGTAAGTGTACTCGGTTTTAAGAAGAGAGGTGCCACTTTCTTAGATTTGTGGGTGCGTGTTTGGTTTTTTTGTTTTGTTTTAAAATGGGGTGTCTCCATCACTAGGCTTCATCTATAGTTCACTATCACACTATATGGGTACTTACCAATATCTCACCCTTTATGTGCGCAAAATTAGGATTGCGGGTAAAAAGGAAAAAAAGGACGAGGAGACAGAACAGTGAGGAAAACAAAGTGATGGAGGGGGAAGAAGAAGCAGGAAGCACAAAAATGATAGAAAAAAAAAGCAGAAAAAACAGCAAAAGAAAACAGTTACATGCTATTAATTATATTTATACAGTGTTAATGTCTCATTACAGTGTTTTCAAACAAGAAGCAAATGTCCGTATGCGTTACATACGGCAAGACTGACACCATGCAATGGGGACATTTCTAATCCTGTTCTCAAGTCATGCAAACTAAATAGCAATACCACTCAGAACTGGAAGGCTGTGTGGAGAGAGAATCAAGGTTTAACTTCGCTCCCTGGTACTTTCTGATGCTAACCTTCCCCACGCCCATCCCCTGCTAGACATCTGGCTTGTAATAAGATGGGGCACATATTTTACACATGCCCTCTGGTGCTGTTTTCCACTTGCCTAGACTATCTGTTACCTAGGAAGGGTTCATATGTAAAGATCTATTACCCTAAGAACGGATGCAGGTGGGCGCTAGCTATATAGGCATTTGGAGGTTCTATGCCTTGCAGCATATACCTGTATTGTGTGTCTGCAAATACACAGGATAAAATAGAAACCCCTGCACCTTCAGACAGGGGGATAGTGCGGCAACTGGTCTGAATTCAGCTCTCCAGAGACTTCTGAGTCTGCAAAATGCAGCTCTAGAATTGTACCGAATAGGTTTACATGGCTTCAAGTGGGACCCAAACATACTCAGCCACTTCTGCCTATGCTGCCAAGAGAGATGCAGTTATTAAACTGGTGTGTAGTACCTGATTTGGGATGGCTCTTTTCTTGTTCAGCTGGGTGCTCCTCTGCTGGGCACTGAAATAGAAAAAGCAAACCAGCTTCACATTGACAGCACAAGGTGCCTGAGAAACACTCAGCTCCTGCAGCCAGAGCCCCAGCTTGCTTTCGCTGGCTATCGTCTACATCAGCCGTTCGCTTGCAAGGCACTATCTAGCGCACTTAGTTAAGTCAGACAGCGAGGAGAGGAGCGGAATAGGGAAATGCCTAGTCCTGGGGGGGGTAAGGCCTGCTGGACAGAACACAACACCGACAGTCTCTTTTGATGGCATCTGAGGCTATCCGAGCTCTCCACTAATGGCCAATTGAACTTGAGAGGCTAGGAGATTTCTGAAGTGTTCTGTTTATCAGCTGCACAAGCCAGCAGCGCTCACGGGGCACTAGGGGGCTTTCAGAGCATCTGGCTGATTCACTCTAGTACAACGCTCCCTCCCGGGCGTCCGGCAGCAACAGACTACAGCTCGTTGTGGAGGAAGCGTCACACGTTAGCTGTATTTGGCCACTAGCAGGGCAAGAGGATAAAGAATTCATGGCCTTGGTTAGTGAACCCAGCCATGCTCGGGCTATGCCCATCACCATGGTATCCAAGGGGGTAGGTAGGTTGAACATTTCTGCTCTGGATTAGATATTTGAGATGTATCTACAGTCCTTTTGCTCCCCACGGGGCATGCCTGGGGTGTGCTGCCCAGAGCTCCACAGCTACCTCTACAGGCTAATCAAAGAGCCCAAGGCTGTAGTGGCAGGTAGGAGTTTGCTGGGGCAGCGGGGTTTGAAGGAGAGTAGCAGATGGCCAGGGGAAATCCAAGGGTGTCTGTGCACGGCGACACTTGCAGTGAAGTTGGGTGCAACTGACTAGATTCTGGACGTGCTCCTGAAAGTTACAGGAGTAACTGACTCACAGTTGCTCCCTCACAGGCTGGGAGGCAGGACTGTTTGTCAAATGCTCAGCATCACTCCATGAGGCGCTCAGGCTCTGCCTAATTTAAAATCAGCATTCACAAGGCTGTTCCAGCTACTGTAACCGCATCCTTCGGCGCTGCTGAAGGTAAAGGCAAGCAGGAGTCCGTTCCCACGTCACCCAATTACATACGGTTTCCGACAGGTACCCACCCTGCTGTCAAGTGCTGCTCAGTGTAACAGCTGGGGGTGTTAGAGAAGGTTCAGGAGAGTCCAGAGGAAAGAGTGAGGTGGTTCAAAGGAAAAACAGGAAAAATTATGAGAGGAGAGAACTGTGAATGAAGTGTGAAAAGCAGAGACTTAAAGAGGGGGGGAAAAACCAGAGGAAAACCAGAAATGAATCCGAAGGTGAGAAGGGGAGCCCCGATCATGCTGCCATAAGACAGCCCTTGGGCTGACTGCATTCACTCAACCAACAAGAGGGCGCTTCCATCCTTGGGGCTTGCCTACATGGGGAGTTGTTCCTGATTAACTCCAGGTACGGATACTCTCACTCCAGATACAGGCATCCACACGGAGTTAATCAGGAAGAGTTAATCCACTTTAAATTTACACTCTACCTTATTAGGGATTAATTTTCATGTGTAGACAAGTCCTTGGCTCAGTTCTTCCTTTGCTATGGGAGGTTTAGTTCATACCCACTATATAGTTTGAGACTGCTCTGGTGCACATTTAGAAGATCCCTGTTTCCTTGGCCAAAACACAAGCACCAGTCAGTGAGACTAAGAGACCTACTACCCTTTCCCCTACCCTCTGTCTGGTCTAGTTTCATCTTAAACTCTCTGGGGCAGGGATCTTCCATTACTCTGCAGTGCACCCAGCCCAATGGTGCCCCCGACCTTGGCTGGTCCCTAGGCACTACACTCCCTGTCCCCTTCAGGCAAAGGCCCTTTACCCAAGGCCCTGAAGACCAGACTCACTTTAGAGAAGCAATGGGAACAGCATATGTGAAGCCAGTGCTGCCCCCACCGACCGCACCCAGCCCTAAAGCGTTTGACGCCAGCCCTGCAGCTGTAACAGAGAGAGGCAAAGTCTCCGACATCCACTGAACAGGTTTACAGCTTTCAGGACTGTTCAGCTCCCTGCCCTATGGGCTCTGAGTTGCTGCTCTACCCCCCTTCAATGCTCATTGATTACTTGCAAGTAAGTGCCTTGGTTACCTAGAGGTCCTGCAACCCACACTTCCCAGCTACAGCAGGTAGGCACCTACTTGGCAAATCCAATGAAGTCTTCATGGTTAGTGTTGATATAGGAGAGCTCAATGTCGATCAATAGTAGAATCTGGAAAGACACATACACCCGAGTCAGCTGAACACAGTAACAGGCCTACAATGAAAGTGCCACTTTCAGCACATCAGGCGTCAGCACTGGTCAATCAAAGCTGCCCCCCAGCACCGAGACTTGTCTGGAAAGCCCTACGCGCTGCTGCAGAGATCAACAGTGGTAGCAGAAAGGTGCAGTTTGAATTGCTACCAGCAGAGGGTACTGTAGGATTGTTGGTGCCCTATGTGAGAGGTGTGCTGGGCTCAAAGGATTTGCAAAGTGGAGCAGGATGTTATTTTACCGCATGGCTCTAGTTGGAGTGTCAGGTTCTCCCCAAACAGCACTGAGATCAGACACCCTTCTGTCCTGAACGAGTCACATTTTACTTCGCCCTCTGCGCGGATCACAACCCCCAAAGTGCTGGACGCATCGCAGGACAGACATGCTCCCTACATCACAAGAGCAGCTTACCTGGTCCTTTGTTTTTCCTTCCCGTTCCCTGATGTAAGTGGTAACGATCCTCTCGGTCTCCTCTCGTAACCTGGGGTAGGAGCCAAGCTGAGAAGCAGGGAGTAAGAGTGGAAGATCAGATCACGGCAGCCATCATGGTAGCCACAAAAAGCTTGACACAAGAAGCACTCACAAAACTGAAGAGGGCAGGAAAGGACCGGACTAAGCCCCAGTTTTGTCGGTAGGACAGAAGTGGGGCTCAGAGGACAGCAAAGAAAAGTCAGTTCTCTGCTGTTTCTGTAGAGATTAGCAGGATCAGCTTCTGGTGGGTCTTAAGTGTGTTTAGCAAATGTACGGTCTCTTTCCCACCCCCCACAGATAAGCAGATCCCCCAAGCATGAAGCCTGGGCTAATGCTAAGCAAGGTGACCGAAATTCCTTTCCAGAGATACTGGCCCTCAGCTATTTCAGGAGCGTTTTTAGCCTTTGTTGCTATGGTGCGAAGCAACACCTGTGCAATATGTCTCTGCAGGACCCATGCCAGAAAGCCAAGTTAACATTAGGAGTCTAGACTTGCAGGTGTGTCCTTGGCTGAAGGTGTTCAGATGTCCATGGACACAGATCCCCAAAATGTTAGTTTAATGGTCTCAAACTCACTTTGATCAGCTGGGTCCTGCGAGCCAGTACATTCCAGATGTTCAGATTAGACAGAGGAAGAATTAAGACCAGTTACCTTTTCCGCACACTTTTTAATGACAGTGGCCAGCTCTGAGACCACCAGATCAACACACTTCAAACTGGGCTCTTTGAGTTTTACAATCTGTTTTTTCACTATAGCTTCAAAAGCCATGTCAGGCGTGAAGAGCCCCGTCCTGCCTCATGCAGAGCACAAGAGTGGAAAGATGAGACACCAAAAGGCACGCAGGGTGGAAAAAACAGCAACCAAGACAGAAAGAAAAGAAAATGAGATTAAAAAAAAGGTTAGTAACATGCAAAGGGAAAAGCAGCAGCACTTGCTGCAGGAAATTCCTTCAGTTTCCTCAGATTCATTTTAAAAATACACTTAATTTACTATCAGGTTCTTAATTCACCTTGTTAAATCCTGGCCTTCATAAGGATCTGATTCTCATTCACCGGCTCACCACTGCTGTGCCCCTTATGTGATCATTGACACTGGCACAAAGTGACTACAACGGGGGGACGATGGTGAATCTTTCCCACCCCCTGGCTATTCCAGGAGCCAAAAGCAGGTGATGGCATCGCACCAGAACCTGAGCCCTAACCATCTTGCTCAACTGGGCCTTTAATAAAGGCGAAGGTCCCTTTGCTTCCCTCCCCCTCCACGCCAAGCTTCAAGTTAGCAGCTGATCTAGCGCCCTGCTAGGCTTCAAGATTGCTGCTGTACCATGGGGAAGGTGACATAGCCTGCTGCCTTCTGAGGGCATGGAGCGCCGGTTTCTTTCTTTAGCTGTTTGAGATTGCCACTGCTACGAATCACATGGAAGTTGAGGGACGGGGGAGGAAGCCAACTGCTGCCATTTCCAGATTCCCCAATCTATTGGTTTATTAGGGCTAGACCAGGTGGGTGGTACTTGGTAAAGAGCACTGCTAACACCAGAGAAGCCCGGCTTGAACAAGCTGTTCGGATTTGATCCGGATTCCTGTGGAAGCAGACTACCTGCCTAGGAGAACTCGTCTGCATGTTACTCCTGCAAGCTGCCATGCTGACTCGCTACAAAGCCGTCTCTGAGTTTTCCCCGCCATGGGCCTGAAGGAACTTTGGCAGCAAGTGCTGGCTTTTCCATGTTACACAGATCACTACAATCACAGTAAAACAGCACCACTCCTGATCCAGAAACAAACAGCCCCCCCCTCCCCAGGTCCTACAATATGAACCACTGGACGAGTGCTGAAGTTCTCTGCTCAAGCAAGACACTTTGGGAAGCAGGAGCTGGGGGCTATTTCACTTTTCGGAATGGCCTCAAAGTGGCGAACGGCCTTTTACTACGGACATAAGCACTTGTCAAGTTCTGGATGTGCCTGGTAGACAGACTGGATCAGAGCTGGGGATCCATCTAATCCAGGATCCTGCCTCTGAACAGCTAACTTTTAGAGACGTGAATTTTTTTAAGAAATTTCCTCAATCCATTACTACCAGATCACGCTAAAAAGCAGAGTTGCCCCAAGAAGCTAGTTATTAACTATGGAAGTGGCTGATTTATCCCAGGCTACTGCGTAGTACCAGGGTAATTAATGCTTCCGGAGAGTGAGAAACCTTTCGAAATGGTGCTCACTATCGAGCACTTCATTAATTGCAGGATTTATAAACAAGCCACAATGAATGTGAAGATCATTTGCTACAATAGCTGCTTCCAGCTTTTGCTCCCAGTCTCCACAGCTTCCCAGAGTGTAGCAAAGCAGCAGCTGAACTCACAGATGGAGAAGACGCATGCTAAGACAGGCACCAGAACCCAGGAACAGCCTGCCCACCTGCCTGGCAGACTCCCAAGCGCTCGGAGGCAAAACCCTTGGCAGCTTCTGTTCCAGTCTGCCACAGAGCACTGCAGCTGGAGGTCACATGGACAGAGTTTGAGATCCTCCCACGGGGACAGAGCCCAGAGACTTTGTGCGCGTTAGGATCATCAATCATCATCATCATCATCATCCCTAGCTCTTACAGAGCACTGCCCATCAGTCGATCTTGAAGTGCTTTACCAAGCACGGCAGTACCGTGACCCCCATTTTACAAACGGGCTATGGAGGCCCAGAGAAGGGGAGTGACACACTCAAGGGTCACCCTGCAGGCCAGCGTCAGAGCTGGGAACAGAACCCCAGTCTGCAGAGTCCCAGTTCGGTGCTCTATTCACTAAGCCACACTGAGACAGAGGTCCCATGGTGCTGGGCACTGTCTGGATCTTTATCACGACCCAGGGCAGGGACGGTATTCCTCAGAGCTGGGCAATGCCAGCATCTCAGGTGGGACGGAGGCAACCCTCCTTCCCTCTGTCCAGGGCCAGGCATGCCAATCAGGTGAGTGAGGAGGTGTTCACATTAGGTTAGTGAGCAGGCTAGGAGTGAAGGGTCAGCGTGACAGGTTTTGCCTACACACATCCAGCTCTGGGGAGTTTTCCAGGCAGGAGAGAACGTTGACAGCACATGTGCTTTGCCACCCCACTAGTAGGAAGGGGCTGGAGAGGCTCCAGCGGGTTCAATACCTTACTGGTACACTGTCTAACTGTATTGATTAACTCCTGAATAACCAGGTCGACACACTTCAGACAAGGCTCTTTCAGCTTCACCACCTGCTTTTTCACAATGGCCTCGAATGCCAAGTCTGGTGTGAAAAGCCCCGTCCTACAGGCAGTCGCACGCAGGGGTGAGGGAGGGCAGAGACATGGCAAAGAAAAAACAAAATGGGTGAACAGGTTTAAAGGCAACTGTCTGTGACCTGACGAGAGAGCAGCAGAGACATCGACTCCCTCCCCCAGACAGACAGGCCTCGATACCAACAGGACCTTCACTTGGGGATGTGCAGCCGTAATCATCCCATGGAGCGGGGGTGGGTTAAGCCTCCAATCGAGAGCATGATGCTGCTTTGTGACTTAGACGCACACAAAGCTGCTCTCTAAGGATCGGGAGTCACTGCCTAGTGCAGAGACATTTAAGGCAATTTTATTGTAGGTCACATCTATGCTGCAAGTGGACGGGCAAGGAGCCTTTTCAACCCCATGCAGCATTTCAAGAGCAGATTAGGCAATTCCCGAGTCAATATTCAGGCAGAGGGAACACAAGTGGGAACAGCCCAGGAAGGCAGACGTGCTAAGAGGAGGAATAAGTCTAAGGTGAGGCCTCTTTGGGATGATAAACTCAGCCCTGTCAGGCCGAGGGTTCACTAGCTCTCAGAGCTACATCCTCAGTGCAGCATGGGCTGAGCATCTGGATTAATCCAAGTGCAGCTCCATCACTGAGCTTAGTCCGTGCCGAATGGATCTTCTTTGACAGCATCCCTGAGCCAGAAGTTCCCAAGCGCAACAGTACAGTAATAACCTGGATCCCTTTTCCTTTACTTGGAAGTTTAGATCTCAAAACACACTCCCCACATACTATTTTCTGCCCATCTGGGAAGATGCACAAGGCAACGGAGGAATTCTTTTATTCTCGGATTTCAAGGGACAACAGTAAACAGATCTCACTCCTTCACTAAACTCTACCAGCGAGACTAACAGAGACAACATTTAGAGTTTGCTCTTGGTTCTCAATGGAGACGGCTTCATTAGTGGAGCCATCACATCCCTACTCCCAGAATCAGAGTTAGATCAAATACTACACTGTCCAGACACGTGGAAGAAAACTACATCGGCAACGTAACTGTTAAGCATCTAATTCTCTCTACCCATTTCCAATAACACCTTTTGCTTCCACACGACACACAAGCTGGCTGTAGCCGTTCAGAACTGACAGCTACACAAGGTTCACGGTACGAGTGTTTATCATAGAATAATGGTACAAACATGACTAAACTGCTCATAGGAAAACAAGACGCGTTATTGGTGCTAAAGACCGCCTGCTCCGATACTTGCCTTATGCCGTGGATGTTTTTAATTGCATAGCTAATTTCTCGCCTCAAGTCCTTTTCATCAAATTCCATCTACAAAAGAAACACGACAGTTAGATTATACAGCAAGGCCCTTCTGGGTTGAAGCACAATCACAGCTCAGGCTTCTAACCGAAGGTGGCTCATGTTTAAACTGCTTTCTCATACAGCCACAAGAGGCAAACATATGCCTACCTGTTTGTAGCTGTAGACAGCATACCATTGGCACCAAGTACTTCTGACCTGTAAAGAGACACTGCCGCTCTCCCCCAAGGAGCTTGCCATGTAGGTAAGCAGTGGAAAGGCTGAGACAATGAGCAGTGAATTATAGCACATCTTGTTAGCACCCTGTGTGTGACAGAGGTGCAAGTGGGGGCACAGCAGACTGCCTGCCCTCCCGTAAGACCTGACGTTTCTGTTTTATTATGGGGTGTCTGGAGTAGGTAGGTAGAACACCTTTCAGCTGCCCTGCTTTATAAGTCAGGGAGGAGGTTTTGCTTGCCTAGAAACATCAGCACCAACTGCTGATCTGCCACATCCCAGGACAGCTGATCCCAAAGACAACATCCCATCCCTCTCTGTCTCGTCAAGAGAAGGAGACAAGCTAGTCTGTGCCCATCTCACAGCTCTGCTCTGGCAAAGATGCTTATGCCATGCAGCAATGGATGAATGGGAGGAGAGAGGTTCCTAACCAGCTCAGCTGTTTAGCTAAGCAGTAGATCAACCCAACACCAGGGAAGGATGGTCAACAGACCCTTCTGCTGGCTGCCCAACAAGCAGAAAGCCTGAAGACAGGCATACACATTGGAGACACTCCCTCCAGCCCTATGGCTGGCAACCAGTGACATTCAGCTTTGCGTGGGGAGAGAAAACACCACCGCTGGACAGAAGTAGTAAAACCAGCGTTCGCTTTACCTTCACCAGCTCGAAGGGGAATCTCTCGTGGAAGATGCGATTAATTCTGGCACCACCAGAGAGTTCTAGTGTGTCCACTTGGTCTCCTGAGCCTTCAATTCGCTTCTCAAAGTCCACCCCAAACTGCTGGACCATCCTGCAGAGAACCAGCAGGAGTAACAGGCATTAGCCAAATACGGCAAAGGCTGTAACGGACCAGCCATTCAGGCTACGGCCACACTATATTCAGAGCCATGCTAGCCATAATCTCTATTTCATCTGGGCAGGGCCATTTGAGAATTCTCTTCTACTTCCATAAAAGCAACAGAGGGTCCTGTGGCACCTTTAAGACTAACAGAAGTATTGGAGCATAAGCTTTCGTGGGTGAATGCCCACTTCATCAGACGCAAGTGATGAAGTGGGCATTCACCCACAAAAGTTTATGCTCCAATACGTCTGTTAGTCTTAAAGGTGCCACAGGA